CTTCTGTTGTTTAAAGCTTGAACTTTTGAAATGACATATAGGGCACCATCTATATCCAGGCATCACTGGGATTATTATGATGGGTACCACACAAATGTCCCGTCACTGTTTTATTCAGTACCTTACCTTCACACCTCCATAGAGCACACCTGGACCCATGCTGGTTTTGAAGACTTCCTGTAGGTGCTCTGTTGTGGATCTTTCCCGTCCAGTCTGTCTAATTTATTTTTTACTTTCAGCCTGATCGCGAAGCTGACCTGTCGCAGCTGCTGTTGTCATCTTGGCAAGATATTCGTCTCTACACCTAAATGTTTTGACTACAAGAGATTTCTGTACTGCCTTAAATGTGAAAATATTGAGAGGTATGGACTTATCATAAGGCAGATTTTTGTATTAATTACTGTTCAGTTAGTTTGGCTTGATAGGGTTTAGAAATTTAAGTCTAAATATTGGAGGGAAGATATCTGGTTCCAGATGTTTTTTTTTATTTAAGTAAAATAGTATGAAATTCTCATCTGCAGTAACAGTGTGAAAGTATACCAATTTATGCATCTGGGCATTGACTGCAGCAATTCAAGTCTAATATCTTGATGAGGTCCATTGGAAGTGTCTGTCTTGGGATTTGAACCAACAACAGTCTCGATTCCAGTGCCCAAACCACATAACACCACATGGTGCTCCTGAAATGTCATGAATATAAAAAAGTCTAGTTCAAACAAATGTTTTATGGAACAATGTATTTTGATGCAGATGTGGTCTGTGTTCCAGTGCACCAAGTGCAATATCACATATGTCCACCAGAGGATGCAAAATCTACATTATGATTTTATTCAGACAACATTTATCAAACAGGTGTATTTTAACCTGCCAGCATGCAGCATTTGTGTTGTGTTTGGCAGTAGCCACACCAGAAGTTTCCTTGTTTGTGTGGTAGGGGTGGAGGCAGAGCTGAGATTCACAGAATCATTGGATAAAGATATGCCCACAAAATAATTGTCTCTTGGAAAGTTTTGTGAAAGCTGGAGGAGAGGCCGATGTGTGAATTTATTTACCTGTGGAACATTTTATGGTTTGCTGCAGGGCTTACACTAATTTCCTGGAAGGTCTCAGTATATTTTGTTTCTTGCTTTACCTGAGCTCTCCATTATATAGTTATTAATAGTATATCTAATGTTCTAAACAGGCTCCACTGTGTTTTCTACATAACTGTGACTTTAATGAAGTGAAAGTTTTGAGCAGTCAGCTGCAATAGAGCTAAAGAATAATCCCATATGTCTAAGTGAGCAAAATAATGAGGTTAATTGTTTAATTGACTGCTCAAGTATGAACAGAAAGAGAGCATGATAATCCATATTTTCTTTCTTGTGTGTACATTCAAACAAAACCCTACCACCAATTTAGTTTATACAGAGTTTTTCTTTTAAAAAATTTGTAACATTCCATTTTCCTTTTTGTTGCTTCCCATGACAAATTTCTGCTGCAGTGAAATGTAACCCTGTCTGATCGATCCACCCATAGTGGCTGTTTCGAGAGCTGGGGTTTAACTTGTGTCCCTGGCTCTGGTCTGAATCTCTTCCTGTGATCTCCTGCTTACTGCAAAGGTTGTCTCTTGGATTCATGAGATATTTGATTGCCTCTGGAAGTTCTTGTAAGGGGGGAGGGGTTCCTATTTATTTTTAACCACTGGTATGGAAAATCCCTTCAGATCAGTTTAGAAGGATATTAACTTTACTCTCTGTTCCAGCTATACGGTGGATTCCGGAACGGAGAAGTTGTGTCACGATGAAGAGGATGAGCCTGTAACTCTGGAATATAAGATGACGTTAAAAAATGAGATTAAGAAGGTAAATATTTCCAGAAGTATGGACAAAAGATATAGACCAGCCAAAGCCCTTCATTCCATCTACAGTAATACTGTAGCTTATTAGAAGCGACTTGAAGTGTGAAGTTCGTGTTGCATGCATTGAAAGTTTTTAAGCCTATTACAATGTAAACTTTGTGTAGAGCTCGGTATTATGTTACAAAAGAGAATATTGTTGGCTTTAATACAGACTAGTTTGTATGTTTGATTGTGGTTTTGGCCTGGGTGCATTTGAGCCTGAATAAAATTACTCCAATCCTCTGTCTGGCATCGAGAGCATAGAGGTAGTTTGCAGATGTAACCAGTAGAGGGCACTGAAGGCAAGGCTTTGGCTGAATGAAAAATGTTTGTATAGTGAGAACCACAAACTGTGGGTCTGTTTGTTTTGGTGCTAAATACAAATTTTAATATTTTTTTTCTTCTGTGAACTGCAACATCTCTCAAACATGGCAGTGTTATTTGAAAGTATGCATCCATTATGTGAACTGTATCAAACTGGTGACTTTAGTCACCAGCATTTAGCCAGCAGCCCCATATCACCCTGCAACTCACAACTGGTAACCCACTGAAGCTAAGCAGGTGTGAGCCTGGTCAGTACCTGGATGAGAGACCTCCTGGGAAAAACTAAGGTTGCTGCTGGAAGAGGTGTTTGTGGGGCCAGCAGGGGGTGCTCACCGTGCAGTCCATGTGGGTCCTAATTCCCCAGTATAGTGACGGGGACACTATACTGTAAACAGGTGCCGTCCTTTGGATAAGACAAAAGCGAAGTCCTCACTCTGTGGTCATTAAAAATCCCAGGGCGTTTCTCAAAAAGAGTAGGGGTGTAACCCTGAAATCCTGGCCAACTTTCCCATTTGACCTTTACCAATCATGGCCTCCTAATACTCCACATCTATGAACTGGCCTCATCACTCTGCTCTCCTCCCCACTGAGAGCTGATGTGTGGTGAGCATTCTGGATTTTCTGCAGTTGCATCATCCAGGTGGGTGCTGCACATTGTTGGTGGTGGAGGGGAGTCCCCATTACCTGTAAAGCACTTTGAGTGGGGTGTCCAGAAAAGTGCTGTATAAGTTTTTCCTTTGCTTGGTATTTAAATTCTGGGCAATGGAAATGTTAGGCTCCAGCTCCCCCGTGACCCTGTATCAGAAAAAGTAGTTAGAAGATGGATGGATCTGTTTGGTTCTGCTTTGATAGATTTATCCACATGTATTGACACATCACATTGCATGTGATTCATTTCTCAATAAAATGTTTTTTTTCTTTAAACCAGCCCAGAGCATCATACGTACTTGAAACCTGTAGACTTGTTGTGGCACGTCATAAACCTTAAAACAAAGATGGAGTACATCCTAGACCATTGCCGGGCAGACACAGATACGCATTCACACCAGGGCCAATTTTCCCACAAGCCAATTAACCTACCAGTATGTTTCTGGAGTCTGGGAGGAAACCAGAGCACTGGTGAAAACCCACTCAGACAAAAGGAGAATATACAAACTCTACACAGATAGCTCCCCAGGTCTGAAATTGAACCTAGGCTCTAAAATGAGATACCTCCCTTTTTAAATGTTGTTAACAGAGTAAGTATGCCTAATTGAATCTCTAATGTTGTTCAAAAGGATAATCTTCTCTACTTTTGCCCAGAAGAGAAAATGACATGTTCAAAGGGAGGTTAAAAATCATTAGAGAGAGAAGGATGAAAACAATTTAGCTTTTTGTCCAGTTGTAATTGTTTTTTGTTTTTTTTTGGTTCTCCTGTGGCTTAATCTCTGCAATAATTCACTTGAAGTCTAAATGGGACCTTTTATCCCACTGAAGAACACAAGATACTAGAAGCTTAAATTAATCAGATACATTCATGGTCTAAACACTTAATCAGACAAAGGAATGCTGCTAAATGTTTAGTTATTCCAGCAATGTTTAAATAAAATGTTCTGTATAAATTTTACAATAATCCAAAGATCTAGGATCTTTAATATCTAATGAACTTTAAACTGTTTGCTTTGTATTATTTGTAAGCTTTGTTTTGGTTTGCAACTAAAATATTTTTTCTTCTGATTTGACAGGTCAAATCTGTTATTTTAACACTGGAGCAGAAGATATCGGAACTTGAAAGTAAATTTCAAAAAGATCTGTAATCATGTTTCTGATTTCCAAGGTGAAATTGGGTGCAAAAGTTAGTAAACTATACCGTGTAAAGTTTTAAAGCTTGTCTTTATGTTTGTGAATCTGAGTTTAATAACTTACTGTTTTTGCATCTTTGTCTGGGTTCTGTTGAGCTTCAAGTTCTTAATTTTTTCTTAAGTTCTTAATAAGAGTAGTTTCACTAGTTTCATTATTCTCTAAACAGATTGAATGCTGCCCATATAACTACTGGCTTTCCAAATGAGTTTGTTTCTGTTTAATAAATGTTGTCTGAATAAAAAACATTATGTATATTTTGTGAATTTGTGACTTCATAAAATGTTTTCCATGAAATAACTATTTTAGGGAATTAACTTTTCAGTTATTTGATGTAGGAGATAAAGACAGTACTCAATACTTACATTCCATGGTCTTGTACCTTGTTTTAGAAAAAAGAAGCTCAAGGTTTTATGAAATCAAAATACAACATTTAAACCCATTTTCTTATTTGAATTTAAATTCTGAAAATCTTGTAGTGCCCTCCAGATATTTATTCTCCCATGAAATGGGAATTAAATCATCCTGTAACTAGGTTTTAAAAATGCTATTGTAATCGGAATATCATTGCACAAAGCCAAAGCCGTATTTGTCAGAATTAAATTCCAGTATACACAATGCTTACATTTTTCCTGCATAATTAATAATTTAAAATTAAAAATGATTAAAAACCTACCTGCAGTGAAGTACTTGTCTATTGAAATGCCATGGAACTATAAGGATGTCCTCCTGTTTTCCCTGGCATAAAACAACAACAACAAAACATTCAGGAATAGCGTGCATCATCATGGTTAAGGTTAGAGAGCACGTTTTTTGATCTCCACGGATTGGAAAAGAATTCCTAAAAAGCGATAGTGTCCATTATTAAGACAGTTAAGGCTACTCTTATTGTGTCAACCCTACCAGGAAGTATCTCAACATTGATTTCAGTATGACAGTCAATGTTATGTTTGGTGTAAAAAATATTAAGCTAATGTCGAGCTGCCAAGAAGCTCAAGCTTGGCTGTAAACTGGACATTCAAGCATGCATTCGAATTTCCTAAAGAATCGTGAACTGAAAATAATGGGATCTTAATCACCAGATGTCAATCCTTTCGAACAGGAATTTAGTAATGAAGGCACTAGAGCAATTCTGCCTGGTGGAATGTTAAAATAACCTTCAAAATCTCCTAGCCCGTTACAGGAGGTGTCTTGTTAGTTAGTCTTGTTAGTTTAATCCATGCTGGGATTTACAGCATGAGTTAATGTGATTTTTGGTGTTCCGTTGCCCAGTACAGTGCTTAAAATGTAACATTTTATATTCATAACACCATTTTCGTTGTATGGTCTTTATATTTAATGGGGGGTATGAATGTATACATTTTTTAATTAAATATGGTGGGGCTACACGTAATATTTTTCATCTTCTTGGCGTGATCAGCTCTGTGAATGTAACCCACTAAATTAGGTGATGTTTATTTCTACAAGAATGTGTCAATTTAGGTGGCAAATGTATTTTTGCTGTATATACCTGGTTTTCTTTGTGGCCATTTCACAAAAAAACTCCACACTATGCCCAAATAATATATACAGTACAGCTATTGTGCTTTGATCTTCAAAAGTTGGTTTTGATGTGCCTAATGATGTCTAAAATACATATCACTAACGATAGATCTCTAAAATACAAATGCTTTCAGATTTCCTCTCATTAAATGGCATTAAATGTTGGGTGCCAGAAGAAACAATATAATTTCTGTCTTGTGTGGTCTCCAAGGATTTCTTTTTTCTTTTGTCTTCAATTTTTCAAGAAACATTTTTTCTGACTGAAGAGAGCTCAGGGTGAACTGGTTTACTTTGGTTAAACTTTATTCCACAGGCTAGCTGAACACTTGTTTTTGCTTATGTCTTTGCTTTACAGACTGATTCCACTGTTTAAAGGGTGCAATAGACATTAAAGAAATATATCTTTGAAAAATAATTTTAGACTTTTCCAGATAAATACTGGTCTCTTTGGAAATTAAATTTTTTTTTGTATTGAAAATGTTCTCATCGGCCTGTTTTCTTTATGGTTCTACATTTGTTTGGCATAAACATTTGCGACACCATAGCAACCGCATCCCACCTGAAATGGACTTTGTTTTGGCAGTTGTGACCAATGGGAATCTTAACAGTCCAATCCCTGAAGTCCTAAACAATGTCGGTCTTTAATATTTTTTTAATGATATATTTTAAATCCTCTTTGGTTAGAGTCTAATAATGTAGGCTTCATTTTAGCTCAACAGCTTCACTAAACCTATAGAAACAGAAAAATAAAGATATAGACCAACCACAAAGCTGTATCTAAGGACCCCTGATAATGAATTGCATGTGCTGTAGGTATTACTGTGATGTCATTGCAAGTCAGTGCTCTTATTCATTTTGCCTGCAGACATCTGTGATCCAGCTTTCATAGCAGTTAATCTCCTAGGCCCCTGCTTTTTACACAAAGTACGTCATTTGTTTACGAGGACCACGAGGCCTTGTTGTTTTTCCCTTGACAGGAGCAGGGTCACCAGCAACAGTGTCTTTTGTAAATTGTTTATGACTCAGATTTCTCAAAAGGGTAGGTAAACAACTATTACCAGAAAGGCACTTTCAAGATCTTACCTGGGAAGACTGTTAAGAGTGAGCTAACTCCTCTGACCTAACGGAGCGGAGTGGTGCCTCACAGGCTAAGGATTTGCGCCTGTGGCAGGAAGGTTGCTGGTTCAAATCTTGCGGCTAGCAGAGGAATCCTACTCAGTTGGGCCCCTGAGTAGGATTCAACTGCTCCAGGGGCACCGTATAAATGGCTGACCCTGCGCTCTGACCCCTAGATTCTCTCCCTAACTGTGTGTCTCATGGAGAGCAAGCTGGGGTATGCAAAAAGACAAATTCCTAATGCAAGAAATTGTATATGGCTTATAAAGTGATCTTATCGTGTGTTATCTTATCTTAACCTGGAAAGAGTGTGAGGCAGGTCTGAGAGAGCTCAGGTGCTCTCACTCCTGAACAGAATCCCAGGATTTTGCAGGGCTACCGAGGAAACAACAAGCTTGAGCTGCTGGTCTCATGGGTACTGATATTGTTGTATAGGGGGCTTATTTATTTTATACCGCAGTAACTCTGTGACATTGAGCAGGCTCCAGAGGGCTGAGCCTTTTGTGGGAGGCTTGTCCCAGATGCAGCTCTGCTCATGACTTCCTGCCTTCATCCCCAGTATAAAAGGATGTCCTTGAAGACACACTCTGAAGAGGTGTGTTCGTCATCACTTTCAAAAAGAGAAAGCACCGGCGCAGTTCATTTCTGTGTAGCTGTTTTCAAAAGAGTGTGGAGGAAGCCCAAAAGTTATCTGTTTGGACAGAGCAATCAAGGAAAAAAAGTCCTTGTTCCTTTCAGTTCACTGCTTTAGTAAAGTGCTTGATTTTAACTCAGTAGCTCAGTCGGCAATGTTTGAGATCTGAAATGAGTTAGAAGTACCAATTCAAGTCACACAGGAAGAGTGGCAGATTAAGTTAACTAAGTTAGCATCAGATCTGTGTATCATCTGTCAAACTGTCAGGATTGTTTTATCACTCAGGTTGACATGAATAGCTGATACTAATTTTGTAGTATCAAAGTAACAAATTCTGGCACTGTTATGTTTTATACTGAAAAAATCAGTGATAATACTTTGTGTTATTCCCATTTTCTGTGATTTCTTAAGGAGTCTATTTTGAAAAAAAAAACGAATGAGATTCATTAGACAGGAGTAGTGCGTTTCTTTTGTGCATCTCTATATTTCCCAAAACAAATGAAATTATTTGTAAGAAAAGAAACTATTTTGTTTTGACATTTGTTGAAATCTGTTGCTTTTACTATTTTCCTAATGTTTTAAATGTTTTCAAGATGTTTTACATAACACATCCTAGTTTGATTGAAAGCTACATATATTGAAAATATATATTTTGTCCATGTCCCCATCTCATGGTTGTGAACTGGAGCGTTTCTCTTACTGTGTGCAGAAGGTACTTAACCGTTTATGAACATAAAACAGTAGAGAGAAAGCATTTAAGGAGCATAAATTTCCATACATTTCAGTTTGTATAATTATGGAATAGCATGTCGTTTACTTTATCTGCTTCATTTATTTGCTTATCATAACAGCTCCTCTATTTATATTAATCAGAATTGTATAGCAATAGTCATGCATTGTTTTTCAGAATGAAAATAATTGTGTTGTTTTATATAGAATTTCATTACATTTAGTGAGTTCCTTCATTAACACCCTTTGTTCATGTTGCAAAAATACTAAGCAATGGTCTTTTTTTTCTCCTCAAACCAAAGCAGGAAAAGGGATTAATCTAGATTTGTGTCCTAATCCTGAACAGATTGACATGGGTTGGAGACTCATGAACAAAGAGAGTGGCCTGTCCCTCATATGAGAGTCATAACAGACTAACAATGTTTATCTGCTCACAAAAAGCCTGTTTATCACACCCAGACTGTCTTCTAAAATCCTCAGATACAGAGCCGTGTATTGGTCAGTGTTGGTTTGTCAGTGGTTTAGCTTTTAATTTTCTGTTTTTCTTTCCCAAAGTGAATAACCGCAAGTATTAAAAATGGGGGAGAGTTCTTTATTTATTTTTTGTTGGTTTGTGACTTTGTTTAGTTCATCTTTCCTTTTAGTTTGGTGATTTTTGTTTACACTGTTGGATTGTTTGTTTATTGTTTGATGCCTGAGGACCCTCTCCACATCCTCATTCATATCTGTTGTTCAGTGTCAGGTGTACCTGTTTTCACTTCCTTCAAGATTTTGAATTTTATGTCTGAAGAAATTATATTAAATTAAAATTTAATTTTATTATATTATATTACAGAGTCTGCAATAGGGAATATAAGCCGCCGAATATAAAACTAAACTGAAAAGTCTTCTATTTGTCTTTCAGAAAATTAAGTCAGTACTCCTTTTATGCCTGTATATTAATGCACTATTTAGGTTTTGTCATTTATTGTTTTGTATATTTGATTCAGCTGTGTGCAGTTTCTGGGAACCTCTGGTATAATGCCATCTGCTGTCTCCAGTCTCTTCGAAGGCTAATTTGCAGGTCAGTCAAGATACGTTTTTTATTCTCACAGAACCACTTTAGCTGACACATCACAAAGCAACAGCTGACAGCCAATGCATCTCAATGACATCCATGTGCTCATTTTGTTGAGGGTCTCTTAAAAAGCCACCAATTAAATCTGGCCTGAGGGGAGCGATCTCTCACTGCTTTAGCAAAACCTTTTGCAAATATTTGGAAAAATGTGTTTTGATCTGTCTTCATGTCACAAATTCAATTCAGCCATTTTCAATTTTTAATAGCAATTGTTTTGAAAACAATCTCAAACTACAATAAGTCCCATCATGTAAGTCTACAAGGCATTTATTTATTGTTGCATTATCCTCTGAATGTTTTCTTCTCCTTGTTTATCTTGGATAAATCTTATTACGTGCAGAAAGAAGCAACAAACTATTGGTACTTGCTATAGAAAGAGTCACCTTTTAAACCTTGTAAATTTATTTTAGATGTCATTGCCAAGAAAAAGGATACTGTACAGACTTAGATTCCCAATTTATATGTATATGACACAGACACATATAATAAATAGGCAGTATAACAAGAGTCTACACTTTAATATGACCAGCTACGAAATTATAATTTTACATCTGTTAAACTGTATCACGCTTATGAAACGAGAGAATATTCTAACAAATTCTGACAAAATAATTACAATGCATTCTTACTTTTTGCAGACAAAAGTAAGATTTGTCAGAAATCATTAGGCAGTTCTTTCAAATTAAAGCTATATGCTGTGAATATCCAAAATGTCTACTCTAGAGCCCATTTTAATTCAAAACCATTTAGTCACAAGGAGAAAACAGTGGTTCCCTTCATGTGGGGCCAGGCTTAGTAGGTGTTTTAAAATGACCATACAGTATATTTAAACAAAAGGCTCTGTTCTTTTGCTGTTAATCCTAGCTCCCACTCGTTGATTTTCATCGCTCGTGTCTACAGATTTAAAGAGGGTGGGATTTTGGAAAACACTTGTTTTTGTCAGTGAGATTTTCTCCTGTCTGAGGAAAGCCCATTGTACAGTTATGCTTTGAATTTATAATATAGAACAGATTAGAGGCAAGATTAGGAGCAAACCTGTTATTGCATGTGTTTACAGCTGTTCGGCAGAGAGCACATGTTGCTTTAGACAGAAACTTGATACCTGAAATCCAAGGAACAATTGCTGGCACAAATATGATCTGGTTATACTATGCAGATTAAGAAATTACTTTATTGAAATTCTTGGCTTTTGTAATGGGAGCTCTTTTTTGTTCTCCCATTGTTTGGATTCGTTTTGAGCACTTTGAAATACTATCCTGCAAAAGTAAACAAGTCATTAAAACAAATTATGTCACAAAACAGAAACAAAAGTTTCTGATACTATCTGATACTGCCTTCCTAACCTGATCTGAATCAGCATTTCATATTTTTCCTGGGTTGATGAAGATGTAAAGTACAATGATCATAACAGACCACCTCCAGACACTGTTTTAAGACCTTGGGAAGGGTATTCAACACTTTGCAAAAGAAACTGTTTCACTTAGCAAGAATAAGTCAGTTTCTTCAGTTTCTTCATACAGGTTCCTTTTATTTTTTGTTCTAATGAATAAACAAACTTCTTTTGGCAAAACAAGGACTTTACTATTGCATTTTCTACTGGAATGGCCTGGGTTATATGGGGGAAATTATTGCACAGCCTTTCCCAGTACATTAATTTGAATGTTTCCTATCTCAGGCATGGGGCTGCATAATCATTGTGCCCATGTCCACAAGGTGCACTGAAGATTATTACTGGAGATCTAAGGTTTGTATTTCCCAAACTCCTCCTCCTCTTGGCTGCATTATTTTTGACTCGAATTAGATCATTGCCTCCTAATGCCCCCTTGTAGACAAAGCACTACAGTTCGTCGCAAACACACACATTAGTTTGTCATTCCAAAAGCTTCCACTCTCTTTGCACTTGTAATAATCTGCAGGCAACCTTCTTTGGTGCTACAATTATTCTAGATGCTCCTCTCCAACACCATCATTCCAAACCTACAAATTATGTTTAAGCACTCCAAGATTGTTTTCTGTAAGCTTGGATGGTTATTATAAAATCTTCTGGGCTTCAAGATAACCCATTTTTGGAACTGTGATTTCTGACATTAGATAGTCCTGGTCCGACCAAATTTTAACCCGCTGGCCAATAGCAAATTCCCGACCCAGCACATGATAACTGGTTTGAACTGTAAATCATGAAGGTACTGTCAACAAACAGCTGTATTCACGTACTGGGTCTGTAACCTCTGACTAGAAGATTAGTCCAATTATTTAATCTGAATGCTAGACATGCTCTGAATGAAAGTATTCCAGTGAGACAACACTCATATCATAATTTATTCTTTCTCAGCATAAAAATCTTTTTAAACTTCTGGCATTTGCAGAACAGAAAAAAGGTTCAAAGTATTATTTTTGTTAGCAAGACTACTTGATTACTTATAATTGTGAATGCTTTGTTTTTTTCCTTGTGTACAAATCTCATTCCCTGTAGAATTATTTAAGGAACAAGTTGTGAAAAAAGAATCATTTTGAGTAACAAAAAGTTATACAGTCACTGCAAAACTGTATGATGCAGGGACAAATTTGGTCACCTGAAAAGGTTATAAACTGTATTAAAAAGCAATACAAGATTATGGAATTATTAAGCATGTTTCTCACCATAGAAGACAGTAATAGTAGAGACAGAAGAAAACTCAAATTACCTTAGGAACAAGTAATAGGTTTATTCCATGCTGAATAGAGAAATCACAATTCCAAAAATGGGTTATCTTGAGACCCAGAAGATTTTGTAATAACCATGCTCTTTTCAGCATGAAATAAACCTATTACTTGTTCCTTTGCAGCCTATGCATGCTGACGCAGCTACCCACCCAAGTTACCTTAGGTTTACAATACTATATGTAGTACTAATACATACTGTTATTTCTAATGAAAAGGCGTACCAGACTGTGTTTGAGAGAAATATATTTTGGGTTTACAGATATGAAGATGTAATTGACAATATCTTTGCACAATGCAATGGACACATTGATTCTCCAGTTTTCTGAAAACATTGATTCTAAAACAGCATTATGCTTCATTTAGAGCACATGAGCGTGTAATTTCAGGTAAATATGTTACCAGTAATATAAAAAAACAAAATAATGGCATAATTACATGATCTGATGCAAAATATATTCTATTTTGCACTTGAACAAAGAAAGATTAGAGAGTAGGTGGTTTCTGGATTACTCTGGAATTGCTGTCATTCTTATAATTGAAACTATTATTTCAACTACTAACTACTAGGTGATAAAAAATATCACCATTTACTCACACTGGTGTGCAGTTCAGATAAATGATTACAATTCATATCCATGTGTAGATTGCAGTTTTTTTCTGTTTAGCAAATAAATCCAGTTTAAAAACAGTGAACTGATAAGTAATATGTATTTGTGTACAGGGCTCAGTGGCACAGAGCCTGATGCAGAAAGTGAAGTAACCTCATGGGTGTTCATAAGCAACTCCACTCTCCAGGAAGCAATGTAAAAAATAGGGTAGTTTAAATGAAAAACAACATTAATGTTGTCAATAATCTTGATTGTACTGTATATTTGCTCCTATTCTGCATATACATATATGCAAAGACTATGTAGCAACTCCACAGCAACATGTTACTTTAAGGATTAAATATGGCTGTACTGGTCTTTGTTAAGAGCTCTTAAAAAGTATTGCTTATAAAGCGTGTGCTAAAGGTAGCCTTTATGTTTCAGGGTTTACATGCATTGAATTATGAGAAGTCAGGTGCAGAAGAAAAACTAAAACTGTTCTAGAGAGATGTCATTTTCTAATCTGGTTTCATAACGTTAAGAACCTGGATTTGAGTAACATGTCTTATGTTAATTCTAGGAATACGTTAGTCTCAGGAATAAATTCAGTAGGTTATGTATAAAACGTGACTTTTATACATAAAAACACAGAGCAAATAGACACCTGATCACAGTTTCTTCTGTGAGGACAGTGCACTAAGAAAAGCAATTAAGAAATGTAGTAAATTAAGAATCACAAATAAAAAAATGAAAAACTGTTTTATTTTAAAAAAAGGTTCTTTTCACACAAAATTATTGACGGGCGGATTGTAGGTGCATATTTTAGAATGACAAACATGTTAATTTAGCAATGATATATATTGAAAGTTCTTATAATCTGTACAGCACTCATTTAAAGCATTCATTTCAAAATTCCAAATTGTAGAGGTGTTTTTTTTAAACATAAACGAAAGATATTTTTATTGCTGGCTTTAAGAGGACTGACGTGACTGCGTTTTGTGTAGAACTTTTTCCAAGCCCGGAAATTGGAAAATTTCCAGAAATAACCATAACCGTTTTCTAATACAGTTAAAAAATCACAGCATTTGGGATTGTCAGCTAATCTTTCCAGTTTAGTAGAAAGGGGCTGGATAAGTAACGACAGGTGTTTTCCAGCCACTGTCAGAACAATGTTTTGAGGGCCCCTGAGGCACAGATCAGTGTCTGCATGTGGTATGAGGGTAAGGGCGCTGCAGGGTTCAGTCCCAGAGGAGGATTGGACCTCACACTGAAGTTGTGGTTCCTCTTCTTTAGCATCTGGCCAATGCCCATCGTGGGGAACCTTCCTCGACTCTTGGGGCTGTCGTGGCACTCTCCACTCCTGCTGCTGGGAGCAGTCGAGGTGTCTGACGAGCTCCAGTCTGATCTAGAAGGGCACGTCTTGCTCTCGGGCGTTGGGAGAGCTGGAGGGCAGGGAATAGTGGCTTTCTTCAAGTAAGGGCTGTCGGGCTGGAAGGCAGGAGGGTGCAGAATGCAAGGGTGACCTCTGTGTGAGAAAGCGGGATGTGTCCCTTTCTGCCAGGGTGCTGGCGGGAATTGGTCCAGTTCTCTGATGGCAGGCTCCCAGGAATTACCGGTACAGGCTGGCGCACTTGGGTCCAGGCCTTCCCTGGCTGCGATAAAGCTGCCCTCTGGCTGGGGTTCGAAGCGTCTGATGGGTTGGGGAGTGTGAGGAAAAAGAGACTGTATCTCCAGGTATTCCAAGGAAGAGGAAACCACACTTCCACCAGGGCCGAACCTTGCTTCGCTCCCATTGGGAGCAGTGCGGATAAGGCCTAGAAAAGAGACAAACCACTGTGTTGAACATAGCAGAACCTTGTAAAGTCACGTTTTCTATTTCCTGCCTCCCCTCCCCCAGTAGCAGCTGTTCTTGTTCAAATGGCCCACCATTTTGTGAGGTTTCCATCTGTACTGCGCCCTGCCTGGAGGCTTTTCTCTCACCGCAGTGTTTCTCCAAATATTGTTAGAGGTTTTGAATATATTCCTAAAAAAGTTTGCATAAGTGGTTTAGATCTTTGGTTACATAACTTCTCATTTGCGTGCCCCTTTGACATCATCTCACGCCAAGAGTCCACCACAGGGTGAGACGATAATCGCTTATCGTCTCAAGGACAAGATACAAGCTTGTGAGATTAGAATGACTCAAGTGTTCCAAATGTACGCTTTTAACAGTTTGTTTGAAGCCGACATAGTACAACTGGAATTTATAATTTTCTCTCCGCTTATAACACCATGAGAGATTGATTTGACAGATTGAATTTAAGGATGACTTAAGAGATTTGCTGCTAAATCAATCAATACAATTTCTAATTGGGTGACTGGGTTCTTCAGGGCTTGCTCTATCCTGCGCAACAGAGCTGTGGGTCAGAGATTGCTCAGGGAATTTCTGCTGCATGTGAAGGAGGTGAGGAAACAGCAGCCAAGGTCATCAGCTGTCAGGTGACAGATCGTCACAACTGAATTGTAAGTGTACTCATCCCCCACAAGTATAAATACATATAAGATTTAGAAAAAAATGTTTTCACACAAGTAAATCAGCATTTAAGTGTCTAAGGTGAAATCTGAGCATCAATCTATTCCAGAAATGTGAAGCTGCTGCACTGTGTATAGAATGCTTATGTTGTAGATGTGCCTTTAGATGCAACACAACGGATAGTGATATATAACTGCCTTCTTCTATAAAGAAAACAAAGGAGAACCGATCTGTCCACACAGGCCTTCTTCAGACGTCAGCACCTTTTGAAGGGTTTACCTGCAGGGACTCTCACTTTGAAATCATTTACATTGACAACTGTGATAAATAAACTGTCACAACAAGCCAGTCTACCCATTGGTCTAATATCAACAGGTTTTACATGTGATTTGTAACTTGGGAAGCCACTCTTAATACTGGATCTCACCTCTGTCCAGAACGTTGTTCTGTGATTTTTTGTCCTTCAGCAGGCCCTTGTTCTGAAGCAGATAACGTGGAGTCTGTTTTGGCAAGATGGTAATTTTCTCCATTTTTTTCATCCAGTGGGTCTGAAAGACATCTGTTTTCTTTTCTTTTTCTACAACCTGCTGCTCCTCCTACAAAAACCAAATAACAAAAGTTATTCCCTGCTTCTATTTGATTTTTTCTCTTAAAAAGATTTGTGTGGATTATCAGTCTTTCTGAGATTGCCACCCCACAATTAGTTAACTGCAATGAGGACGAATTAGTTAGGTCTGAGCACCATATGCCATGTTTAAGGTTAAGGACAATTCTAACGCAATGTAAAGCAGATAAGATCTTGTGTTGACACTTACTTGGAAGACCCTGGTGAACCTCCTCATCTTCTTGTCCAGGAGGAAGTAGACCGCGAGGGTGTGACAGGCGCGGTTTGTAAGCACAACACTGAGGACATCGCTGTGCTTGTACCCCAGCCTTTCCGTCATGTGCTGCAGCACACTGTGGTTGATCTCCTTCATGTGTATCCTACTCAAAAAAGACAGGAGCGTCACCATTAGATCGCAAGACCAGCACTGTGCACCTTCATTCCTATAACTACTACTGCTTGTTTGCTTTTCTGTTTGGGTGCTTGAACAAGAAAACAGAATTACCAAATTTTATATTTTATATCATCCCATTCATGTGTCCCCAGTTTATAATCAACTTGGTGTACTGGTACAACATGTACATGTAAATCGTGCCCACCCAGCCCTCTCCAGTGATGTGTTGTGCACATAATTGTATATAGAGCTGAATCTGCCATTTGAATGAGTAATGTTCCTGATCAAGGAATATTGGTATTTTCAATGGAGGCTGTATGTATCTGGGTTACATCTCCTTGAATGGCAGTTAAGGGGTTAAACCAGTCATTGGTTCTAAATTTTAAGCACAGATGTACCCAGGTGATTAGTGTTCCAGTTAATTTGATTGAAAAAGTGATAATGTCTCTCCTCATATTCTCTGCAACTAGGAAATGTTACTGTCCCTACTGTTACAGATAACTAAAATGCCCTAACAGCGATCTGAACTGCACCATCAAGACATCAAAACTAAACAAAGTGGGCCTGATTGCATAAAATCTACCATTGAACAACTTAAGCATTATATACAGTGAGATTTCCTCTCAGTAAAACATTAACTACATTGCACTCGGCTGATCTGTCAACGACCTTAAAGTTATGGAACATTTAAGGGAAAATTAATTTAAGGTGCTTCCTGTAGCTAGCTACTGTGCAGCAATAGTAAACACATGTCTGGTTTGCAGACTGAACTGACTAGACATTCTCACTCTGACCTGTAATACGGTCGACATGTTTAGTTCAAGAAGGAAACTTATGCTTTTCAAAGTCGAAATGTCACACAATGTTTTTTTCACAATGCTGTGCTTTAAAGTAATAATGGCTTATGTCTCGCACTCAAATCCTTTTTTCTAAGCAGAGAATTTAATGAAAACAATTTAGAGTAATGAGGCTCAACTGCGCAGTAAAACCAGTTTCATGACTTACAGAGAAGCCTTCCAGCCGCAAACAAGTTTTACTCTTCTTCTAAGATCCTTTGGTAAAGCTAATTAAAGAGACAGGGTACTTTTCACAGCAGTCCCCTGACACAATGGACTTGGCCTATTTTTGTCATTCATTGCTCCAATGAAAAGCCACTTAAAAATGTGTTGATGTTTCGATTTCTTCTCAAGATTTGTGATCTGTAAATCGTTGTGGCTGAGACAACAGGGGAGGAAATGGAGTAGTTAAACGCAGAAAATGATCTTATTTTGATTTTTTAATATTTAATGTCACCTTTATGCCAAAGTTCTTTGATTAGAATCGAGCGGTTTCAGTTTCTAAACATGCATGAGTTCACCCTGCCGTACCTATTCAGACACGCTGCTCCGTGTGGAGGGCTTCCACTTCTGAGCCATGGGTCCATCATGACTTGATGAATATTTGGCCTCTTCACTGGGTCTGGCTCCAGCAGGCTTCTTAACATGTTGACTGCAGCTGTAGACAGATCGCAGAGTGGAAAGCAGAGTTAAGAGTCAGGAAAACCGCAAGATCAAGAAAAGGCTTATTTCAGCCTATTGAGCTTTTTTCTCTCTGTGCCCAGAATAATTTTCAGGCAAAGCTATGAACTTCAATAGGTGACTATGTTGTTATATTTATAGAAAGCAGTGGTTCAGAAGACACGCTCCTTTAGTAATGTACAAAAGTATAATCAGTGAACAACAGAATATGTCCTCATTTTCTCTGAAAACGGCTTGGATAAGTCAGATAACTTGTTTTCATGTCTTAGGCTTTCAGAGGCGGGTGTCACCACAGAGTAGCAGCCCCAGCCTGACTACTCTGCAATGGCTGCCCAATAATAATTCTTTAAAGAGGTTTGAGTAGGGAACTGCGTCAGCTGCAGAGGAACAAGAAAAGCTCATTTCCACGCTGAAAAGCAGAAAGATGTTACACCTTCTTCAGGTGTGCGTGAGAAAGAAGTAGAACGAAAAAGAAAAACTCTTTAGGAGAAAAAGGCTCAACAGCCAAAACATTTTTTCTCTCTACTTTTCACCGTGATACTAACCTAAATATATGCCTTTATTTATGGCTGTTTTTAAACATTTTCTTTTTTTGTACTGTTACTTTTGCAGCTCACCTGCTGTGGCAGCGCCGCACTCAAACAGACTAGGCCAAGTCACTTAAGGACACAATAGAGGACCTAAGGGCTTTTCCCTGACGTTGCAGTTCACTGCACATTCATTGCAAAGGTAAAAGCATCTTCCTGGTGTTACAAAGCCAAAAACAAACATTTGAACCACCTTCCAGAGGCCCTGCGTTAGCATGCTGAAAGATTAATGGGAAATCATACAACTCATTGTGGTCTTTTTTTCCTACTGGTGGAAAAACAGTAAAGTATATTATTATAGCCTTCAGTCTCTCTAGCCAGGAAAAAGGATGGTGGAGGGGGATCTCACAGAAATCTTCAAGTAATGAAAGGAACTGTAAAATGTTCAAACTTGACATGTGGACCTGGATTAGTTTGTATATTAAGTACAAATTGTTTCAGAATTGTGAGCAGGGGGCTTTTCTCTAGCCAGAGAGATTCATTGAAAAGTCTGCCAAGACCAATGACTATTACATTCTAGTGTAATAAAGCGTAATGCTAGTATGGTAAAACCAAAAAGTAAAAAATATGGAAACCAAAGTCAAACTGGTATGATGAACTTTTAGAAACAGTTCTTGGTCTGATAATTTATTTAAACAGTGGAAGGGCCAATAGGCCAATATTTGTATTTTTAGGTTCTTAACTGCAGCAAATTAAAAAACTTTTAGTTTTAGATTTGGAAAATAAATGTTTTTTTTGCTTTTAAAGGGTTTTGCTCTGTAGCAGATGCCCTTGAAATGTTCCATCTAGCAGTTCCAAACAAGAATGCTTTGAATTTGTTCCTTAATCTATCAAAGCTAGGGAAATTAGCAGAAAAACTCAGACACACAATCTTAGTTGCCAAAAATATTTTTGTCCCTCATATGGTTGAAAACAGGCTTCACAGTAAAGCTGGCATCAACAGAATGAAGCTTTTAAATGCATTTGTAGTGTTATCTGGGCACTTGTTAGATGCAAACAAAAGATAAACTTCCTGTATTTTGTTTTGAACTAAAAAAGGCATTTTCTTTCTAATTCAGTCATGCAGTTAACAACAGTTTCTAACTACTAAATTCCAGTGCCTAACACAAACAAATTTAGGTTTTGTTTCAAAAGAACCCTTTTCTTAGAATCTCCTAACTTACCATGTGAGAAAACATTCAACCCTCACATATGAACTTTATTTTCCTGAATATCCAAAATGTATAAATGAAACCAACTCTAGGCATGTTCTCCAAATGTACAGTAACTTGCTAAAACTCCACATCGAAACTTGGGCGCTTCACTTCTGTGTAGTCCTTGTGCGACTTCAGAATTGTGAGCAGGGGGCTTTTCTCTAGCCAGAGAGATTTATTGAAAAATGTGCAAAGACCAGTGACTACTACATTCTAATAGTCAAGGTTGTGGATTGTTTTCTTTTTCAATACGGCATTAGCAAATAACAGTTTTCACAATGTTTCACAGCAGAGATGCAGCAATAATAAAAAAGGAAGGAATTAATTACCTAAATCTTTTATAGCCTTCACAGTGCTGTGACAACAACCACTGCAAGAGCACTTTATACAAAGTGTATAGAGATAAGTAAAAACTAGCTAATAATTAAAGTTCAGTCATAAGAGTGTGCAAAACAATTAGGGATTCCAAAATCTCCCCGGGATTGTCAACAGGAGCTACTGTCATGAGTGGAAATTACCTATGGAGAGCTGTGGAGGCAGAGGGTTCATGTCCTTGTCCACCATCCTCTGGTGCAGGGCTCTGAGACTGAAGGGCTCCACAGTGAAGGGCAGGTTTCCTGTTAGCATGGCGTACATGTTCACACCTCTGGGAAATTCAACATGGAAAGAAAGGAGAACCACATTATTTCCCTTTTTAAAAGCACTAAGTAAAACTTTTCATCCTACAGCCAACTCCACTTGAAACCAAGTGCTGGGATTTTCATTTGCCAGGTTTATGTCTTTTACCTGCGTTTATGATCAATTGACATGAAGTGCTGGCTGTGATTGGGATTCCCCAGCCAGAGATGCACGATTTCTGAGCGCCAATGAGGTTGGGGTGCAATTGGTTAGACCAGTTTGCTAAGAACATTAGAACAGTGACACAGGGGAAGAAGTAATTCGGCCCATTTAGCTTGTAAAGTTCTGTAGTTAACTGCTAACTGATCCAAGGGTTTCATCCAGCTGCTTCTTAAAAGAAACCAGGGTACCAATGTGGCTGGATAACTTGTTCCAGACTCCTATGACCCTCTGATTAAATACATGCCTCATATTCTCTGTATTAAACTCACTTCCACATAGTTTCTACTTGTGCCCTCTAGTCTGTGTTGCACTGTTCATCCTGAAGAAGTACAGTGGGTTGACTTGATCAAGGTCTTGAAGGATTTTGAATACTTGGATGAGGCCCCTTGCAGTCTTCTCTGTTCAAGACTAAAGAAAGCCTCTGTTCCTGATCTTTGGGACACAGTGACCCCTTTAACCTACCAGACATTAAAAGGGCTGCAGTACAGGTGGTGTGGGCTGTGTTGCCTGTGATATTTTTCTGGAAACAGCTGGTTGAGATCCTTGGATTAATTAGCTACTAGCAACCAAATGATGGACTGAATGGCCTTCTGTCATTTATAACTATGTTGAATGGTCCAGGTTGAGTGTACAGGGTGTAATGACCAGGAGCTGTCACTTGAGGCCACCAAAGAGACAAATATAACCTTTCTTTTATATATGGTGGTTTCACTTGTTTACAACTGACCGTTAATTGTTCTTGTGAAATGTTTTCGCTTGAGAGTCATTTCTGGGAAACCCTTGGCAGCTGGAAATGCAATCTGCCCATATATATTTAAGGTGTGTCTGTCACACCTTATCCAAAGGTGAAGATCTTCTGCTACATTTATATACATTAAAAATTGTAATCGCCTGTGCTTTGCTTTAGATGCTGCCACCTCTTCATAAGTGTAGAATAAATACATTTTCAGAATGTTGCAATCTAGTTGCACTGTTCATAGGTGCACTGTTGCTTGTACCTGCTCATCAAACTCCAGGTACAGTATGTTGAGTAGGTAAGTTATTTAGCATGGTTATGACAGCAAATAATGAATTTAGCTATACAGAACATTAACATATTTGTAGAAAGGTCACTTCTTAAGGTAGAATTACGATTTTGCTGTTTAAGAGTGGAGTGGAGATCTCCAAGCCTCTCTGTAACTGGCTGAGCATACTGGAAAAATCACTTACATGGACCAGACGTCCACTTTGGGGCCGTATCTCTTTTTGGACAGGAGCTCGGGTGCTGCATACGCAGGGCTGCCACACTGAGTACTGAAGGGGTCAGAATAACCCAGCATCCAAGCGCAATTACTCAGGCCAAAATCTGGGAAAGAAAAGACAATTCAGCACTGATTTATTTGTATTACCATGGCTTCTCTTAATTGTTAAGTTTTCCATGCATATTAAAACCATTATTTTATCGCTGCAGTATTTAGCAGTGCCTAACAATGACCCAATTCTCCACATGTAACACTTGCTGTTAAATAAACCTCCTATAACATAGTACTGATGTTCCAAATACTTCACACTCGGGCGAGAACTTGTTAAGTTTGAACTAGTTAATGTATTCCTAATTAAACCTGGCCACATAATTAAATCTTTTTTGACTGAGAACTTCAGACAGACGTTTCCTCCCTGGAAAACTACCAATACCTTTTTTGATGAAAGTTATTTTCTTATCCCATGCTAATATCCATTTACAAGTTATTTGGGGTTTCACCACTGAATGGCTTTGAAAGAGAAGAAGAGGCATTGTTTTTGAATTTTAAAGAGATTTATAAAGTTGGCTGCTTCTGCATATGGTACTATGTTTCTTTCACATTAAAACATAGATTGTAATTCGAAACAGATTAATCAAATCAAATCAAAGCGATGTACATTGCATAAAAGAAATTCTGAAATACTTCAAGTAGGGTTCATTTTTAAGAGGTATATTTTAATTTGGTTTCATGTATTACCTATAAGCTTTATGTTGTCATCTTCATCCAGTAGAAGGTTCTCTATCTTCAGGTCTCTGTGAAAGAAACACACACATCTATTGTTAAATGATTGAAGCATAAGTTTCAATTGAAAGCATGCATATTCTTTTAGCAAAACACTGAGCCCCTACTGTATTGGACTCTCTTGATTGTGTCAAGGAATTGTTTATAAGAATTTACAAATCTAGCACCACAATTATGTATCCCGTGCATAAGTGTAATACTTATTTCAAAGTCTTTCAATCTGAGGTTTTCTAAAAGTCTAGAGAGATACTGTTAACATTTAAGGGAAAAATGTTTTTAGTTTGATTTAATTTATTTTTTCAGTTTGAAATAGTTCGAGGAGAAGTTAGGTTTATATGCTATTATCATTCTGAACCCCTTTTCAATTCTGAAGACTTAAACGTTTAGGAACAACTATAGTCAAACACCATGATGAACCATCCATTATAAATACCAGAATCAAAAATAATGCACTGTATTAGACGCAAAAAGGCAGTCGAATGATACACAAGATATAACAGACACAGTGTCCTAAATTAAGTTGTGTGGAATGCATGAACTGTTTTCATGTATCAGACAAAGGAAACATTGTCTCACGTCACAAGAATTTACAAGGATCGGACTGTGCCTTCAGGATCAGGAATTGTATCATTGGCCATGAGAATCATAGTTACCTTTCTTAAATATTATCTGCAGGCTTTGTGACCTGTAATTTATCACATGGGTCAGGACTGCTTTATTGCTTTATGCTACTTCCATGCGTTAATATATAACTTTGATGTATCAGTGTTTGATAGATTAAAACTACAATACCAAGGAAAAGAGCCAAACTGTTTGTTCTTCTCTGTAATCCCTGGATTCAGCAATATCCTGGCATTCCAGAATAGATACCAGTTTTCTCTATAATGTCACGACAACGATGAAGAACTTGTCTATGTGTGCTGGCAGCCCTGTGTGTTCTTTTTTGAAAGCTTGTGCAAGTGTAAAAATACCCTGAAAAAATCATAGGAAAGGCAGTTGATAACTGATAATTAATTGTGACTCAGTGTTTAGAAAAGGCAATATGTTTATGATGTGAGAAGATACATTAGAGAGCTCACTCTTTCCTTAGCTGCACAGCTTTCTCACTAAAACAGGGACACACTACACTGCCACCACACCAACAGTGTATGTATTATATCGGGAAAGAAGAGTTATTTGTTCGGGGATTCAAAAGCTTATGCCACTCTAGGGGTTCAAGTGAAGAAGAATAAATATAGTTCTCTCTCCTGGAGTTTTATGTATTAGACATGGCCATCCATATTTCTGAGGGATGTTTGGCTCCAGAGAAAACAGCCACATAAATATGCACAAATGTAACCCAAAGAAGACCGAGGCACGGATGAGGGCACCCCAAAACATTCAGTGAGAGTTACCTGTGCACCACCCCGGCCCGGTGCAGGTGCTCCACAGCCGTGACCAGCTGCCTGACGTATTTCTGCGCCTCCCTCTCCTCTAGCTTCTTCTTTTCATAGATGCGGTCCATCAGGTTGCCCCCTCGGCACAGCTCCATCACCAGGTAGTAGCTGTTCTCCGTCTCTAAAATGTCCAGCAGCTGGGTGATGTTGGGGTGGCGGATCATCTGCTGGATCTGACCCTCCCGCCTCAGGTTTTTCGTCACGTAGGAATCCTTTTTGGCCTTCCGCTTGTCGATCACTTTCACCGCCACCTGAGAGGAGGGCACACGAGTCTCAGTCTGGCCTTAAAAAACAGGTGTGACTGGTGGAAACAGTCACAAATGCGTGTTGAAATGTTTCTGCGCACTTTAATAGGCTCAGGGGATTAGGAACAGTATCTAATTACAGTACAGAGGCATATTTGCAAGTGGTGCATGTTCTGTACGTGCAACATATCCATCTGTTGTGAGCTGTTGTCTGTGTTGCATGCGACACAGCCAGTGGAGATTTCTGTAAAGTGTTATAAAAGTAGTTCGTAAAATGAGTTTTAATAAGCCTCTAAAATTTATGAAAGCATAATTACACACCTAAACAAAGGAAAATTCCATGCTGGAATTCCGAACTTGCGTGTTCATAGTAATAGACCTGGAAGGACAAACTAAAACATCCATCTGTTTTCTAAAAGCTCCATCTAATTCAAGGTTGCTGGGGATCTAGACCTTATCCTGGCTCAACAGGCACAAGGCTGGGTACACCTTGGATGCGATGCCAGTCCATTGCAGGGTAAACACAACAAATACACTCACATCAGGGCTAATTATCCCAGAAGTCAATTAACCTTTCAAGATGTTTTCGGACTGTGAATGGAAACTGAAGCCCCTGCAGGAAACCCACGCAAACACGTGGAGAGCATTACAAACTCCACACAGACAGCATACCTGGTCCAGAATTGAACCCAGGGCCCCAGCACTGCAAGGTAGCAATGCCACCATGCCATCTGCCAAGCTGAAACAGCCTCTCCAACACAGTCTTTTTATGTGCTAACAATGTCTTGCAAGTAACTCACACCTATAAGAGCCAGTCTTGACAGGCCAGAGCAATGAGAAGGGGTGACCCCTTACTAATGAAGGGAAATTAAACTGTAGGAGGGAATAATCAAACCCACCTTGCACGTTTTTGGCAGGTGAAAGGAAACCACAGCAGAAAAAGATTACACAAAACATGCAAACTCCACCCAGACAGGCCACCAAGATAGAACTAAATAGCAGTACCACCCGGACCTATATAAACACTCTAAATCCAGATTTGTTTCACAAAAGCAAAAAAGAAAAAACATGGAGAAACTGACATGTCCATCAAACTTCGGCCTCAGGTTTGAACACTGCATTAACCATTTCCCAGCTGATTATAAGCAATAGTTTATGCAGCGAGGTAAAACACCACAGGGGCATTCATTTTACCTACTTTGAGAGTCTGATTTGAACTGCCATAAATGCAAAAACTTGAAAGTCTGGTTTATTTCTCCAAATACACAAAGAATCCCAGTGAAACTGACAATTCCAGCAGTGCCTACTAATTCAAAGCAATAGAGCTAATGTTTATCACTCACTGCATTCTCTATCATTCTCCACTCCACATTCTTCAAGAGGGGAATGTATCTGTCACCAGTTCTTGTTTTTTTTTTAATGAAATGACAAAGGCATCTTAACAGTTATCTTTCCCATTTAAAGCAATCAAATCAAACAGGATTATTGAGGCAGATTGAAGACTGGCATTTCAATTTGCTCTGTCTGGTACCTAAGCTCCCAGCCTAGCTTAAGTTAATTTCGTAAGAGCTAGTGTGAGAGTGCTAAAACCCAATGCAATCAATAGTGAGGATTTTATTTCTGTAGGCCCCTGATTCCCTGCACATTCACAATATTAACTGTCGCTTAATTGCTCAATTAACATGAGAAAAAACAATTGGCCTTACATAGTACGTGTTGCCACCTATTCTGGAGAACAATTGTGCTATGTTCCATTAAATTAAAAAAATACATGCCTCCTGAACAAATCTGAGAATTGCAACTGACAGAGCAGAAAGGGTTGTTTGTAGCTGCTTAGAACGTTTGTTACTTTATTTGAATAAGGCAAAAGTGTCCTGCAGAACAGAAAACAGCAAGCAGAACTCTTGCCTTTTACTACTGAGTGCTGCACTAATGCATTTTATCTTTGTGCAGTTTTTACTCCACAAAGGTAGTAAGGAGTACTTGTTAGGAGTAAGGAGATGCTGTCTAACTACGTCAAGAGCTTCAGCATTCCACCCATGCTCTTAATTACCTAACCAAACTTATGCATTTTAATTGGACCACTTGAATGGTTCTCGCAAACCACTTAAAGAGTCACCCCCTTATTCCCTGTAGTCTCTTCATTGCCCCCACAAAAAGAGGTTATATGCAACTGACAGGTTACGACCCGTTAATGGATCGCATTGCTAAAACAAGAGACAACAATTTAGGAACCGAGCAGAGCAGCTGATTATAATGTGACTGAACTGTTTACATGAAAAACAGCATGTGTTCTGCTACTGGCCCTTCCCAGCACATTGAGATTCTGCATTTCAGGCCCAGAAAAGAAGTGGGCTGTTAAAAGGTTTATTGTGTTATCTAGGATACACATTATTAGTCTAAATCCTGCTGGCTTCCCCAAACACAGGAAAAGTTGTCCAGGGTAGCCCTAATCCTTCGTATTTTCATTAGTTTTGTGTTTTAAACGTGGAGATAGTTGAGCAAATACAAGTTTTTTGTTTATTTGGTGTAGGTATTTTAGATCAGTATCATTAAAAGATCCATTCAGTTTATAATCGTCCAAACACGGTTTAGGAACACATAACCTGCGTTGCTCTCCTTGAAGTCATCAAGAGATGCGATGAATCTTTTGTTTAGAAGGAAAGGCACCGCAGAAGAGGGAACAGGGAGTTCGAAAGTGAGACAGAGGATGAAGGAGTGAGTTGCCCTAAAAACTAAAAAACTAAAAAAACTAAAAATGCAATGTACGTTTTATGTACTGTAGCTGTGCTATGGTAGTAGTTTGAATAGCGATTCCAGGCCACCCAGACAATGGCAGTTGTTTTCTCAGATGTAACTGTGCCGTGCCTCTCACAAACACAAACAAAGCCATTCAGAACTTACAGTAATTGCAAACAAGGGAACAGACGGGCACTAAAGTCCTTTATGAATGAGAGCCTGAGCATTTATGCGGTGAATAACTGGATGACAAATTAATTTTCTCCTCATATGCACTCGCCAGAAGTATGCGGAGACCATTAGATGGCCTTAAACGAAAACAGCGGTGGTTTACCTAACGAAAAAAGTACGAACAGATTTCACGTGTAAACCAGTGCTATATTTACAAGCATTCAATTTTAATCACCAAAACCAATTTAGCTGCTGAACATACGTTTCGGAAACTAACATTCATTTTTTATAAACGTATTCATAACGCCACAAACAGAAAGCTATATCTGTAGGGAGTTCTCAAGCAAATCCAAATTACATTTAATTCCTATATGTAAGTCCCAGGTATTTCAAATAATGCTACAGATTTGCTGCTATTTACTTAATATGTTCATTAACACGACATTCATTAAGTTTCTAGGTATACCCTCTCTGGGGTAATCTCTTCTTAATTCAGACACCTCAGTAAGCCCCATTGATGCAAGTATTATCTAATAACATTTGAGCAGTGATTGACCTGGAACTTTGCGGACGTTTCCTGTTATCACTTCAAACCTGAAGATGAGAAACACCACCCTAAAATACCACCGGTATCTGATATTTCAGCTGAAGCACCGCCGACGTGCTCTTGACCAGATAACATCAAAATTCAATTATGAGCATTCGCTGGTCATACAAAAAGACCTTTAGTGTATGCAACATTAAATATTCCCTGTCCTAATGGAGTTGGGCGCTATCGATATTAATTCCAAAACTTAAGAACCGAATCGCTCACTCAAAAATACTAACAGTAAAGTAAACATGGTGTAACAGTATTCAGGGCTACTATATTAACCGCTAGGTACGAAATACATATACAGTACATGCAATACAACGATGACACGTGCATTTTGGAAGACACGTACTAGTGGAGCACTTTGTGGGGCGGTTCACTCTTTTTTTCCAATATACAAACGTCTTCCCTTTTAATGCTGGTTTCGAAGGTGATACCCTCACACTGTATATGGACTACTGTACACATTGTCTTATTTTGGTTTAGGAACTACACTGGTTGATTTCGTATAAAATCGTACAAAAGCAAATGTAACTAAACAATTTTAAATTAAGAACAGAAATGAACAGTGCTTCTTTACTGTATGATTTCTGAGAAAATGTCAACAGACTGTTTCAACAGAATCTCAAGCAAAAGTGATAGAAAATAAAGAGGTGAAAACATACCGTCTCCCCGGTCATCACATGCAGCCCTTCTCTTACTTTAGCGAAAGAGCCTTCTCCAAGTTTTCTGCCAATGAGGTAATTCCCGACTCTTTTGGTGTGGTAAAACGTACGATGACTTTCTCGGGAAGGACACGGTGCGAAAGACGGGAAGCTGCTTTCAATGGCAATGCAAGGCGTCTTTAGTCCAAAAAGACGAGGTCCGTCGTTCACCATTTCCCTGACCGCAGCGGGCATCCTGCTTCGCGGAGCAGTCCAGCACCCTCCACTAACACCCCGTGAGAAAACTCCAGCCCCGACCTGCCTTTTGGAGATCAGAGGGGATAAGCGCAGTCAGCAAGGGACATCTGAAGAAAAAAAAAACATCACTTTGCACCCTGTCACTAATGTGAAATACTTAACGCGTTTTAAAACAACGCACCACCTGTCCAATCCAAGCTTCAAAGATTAAATTAATGCATCACTTTAATGCAATTATTAACTCCGCATAATAATTTTATGCAATACGAGGATAATTCATAGTCCTCAAAAATGTATTACACACACGAACCTTTTATCTGTCCTGCTTAATTAGTAGGCAAAAAAAGTTTCACTGAAGTTTTCGTTTGCCACACGGTCAAGGGCTGTCTTCTGCTTCCAGATAGCGCAGTGAGAGGACTGTGCTCAACGCGACCGCCGGGCGACACTGACTCGTTTCTTTTCTGTAGCAGAAACCTCATGTGTGAGGGCTGGAGTAATTTAATCGGCTCGCAGTCGGCGGGAGCAGATGTGATCTGAGCCCCCGCCTGTAAATCTTTCAAATCCCAGTCGCTCCCTCCACCCCCCTTTCGCTTGTTCACCAATGACAACAAAGAAAAAGCCGGACAGGGGAGGAGGGGGGGGAGGACTTTCAGTTTCACTAATTTTTCTTCCATGTACGTGACTCCTTTGAAATTCAAACCCAGAAGGTCGTTTAGTTGGGTTTTTCTCGATTAGTACTGAATTTTTAAGTGCAAGTTCAATATGAAAGCCCCACATCTTCTACTTGATTGTTCATGAACAGAAAGGCGTTGAACAGGTTATGCACTTCAAATGTTATCTACATGGAGATCATTTGGCTACAAAGCATAACAAACCTGAGCACACTGTACTCGACTTGGGATATTTTTATAAAAACCTTGGCCAAACATTTCTAAATCCAACCCTGTTCACGACATGTCGATTTAACCCTACGCATATTGTATTTGACTTTTCTGTTAATTGTACAGCCAATACAATCCAAGCATATACTGGATACTGTACATGCACAAGACATAACAGCTGTGCATACTCAATGAAATAAAACTATCTTTGCACTCACTGTTCAATTGAAATAGACAGGAGTCCTCTGCCAAAAAAAACCACACAAACATCATCCAGTTTCCTTCCTACGTACAATGAAAGTTTATTTTTTGATTTAGCAACAAAATCTTTTGCATCCAAGCAGGTGTTTCACACACATACATACTGTAGATTTACAAAAACATAAACAGTAGAAATAAACATTACATTAAAATAAATCTAGCATCACATAACAGAAAACAACCCATTTATAGCAATTACAAACGACTCCTACAGGAACCCACACTTATCAGAACCTATATATTTACTCCCCCCAACAATCACCCTAAATTCCTATAATTGCACAATACCCCTTCTTACACTGATTACACTTGCTCCTAAACCAATGCCTTTTATTTACTTGACCACCTTTCTTCACACCTAAGAAATCTACTAAGAAGTAACATATATAGGGCTCTGTATAAAGTCAGTTATGTGATCATCTAAATGTATTCTTAATTTACATTAAATGAATGCAAATGTAATGCTTAATGGAAATGTCTGTAACCACATATTACTTTGTCCTTCATATATGCCCTTTTCACCTCAGGTTTTGTAAATGAGGGAAAAGTCAGGGATGCTCGGAGAGAGACCTAGTGTGTCAGCTCTCTCCCGCAGGGAGGTCAGTCAGGCGTGGTGAGGTCGTCTGCTCCCCAGGGAACTGCACTTAAACAGGGCGGGAGATGACATGGGAACTGAGGAGAGTGAGTGGTAGCTGATGCACCCACAGGCAACCAGTACTTCAGGCTGGACGGGGGGACTTGGGTTTGGTTTACCTCATAAATAAAGACACCAATAGTCGTTTACAGCTCAAGTCACCCCACCCTCCAAAAATAAAAAAAGAGAACTGCCTACTTAATAGCTTGGATTGTATTGGCTGACCAAAGCAGGTCAGCCACAGTCAAGGTGCCACCAAAGATATTATTTGTAAATGGGTAAATCTGAGTTTATTAACACAAACCCTGACTCAATTCCTAACCTTAAGAAAATAACTTGTACATTTATGTTGCTGTGCTAACAGCCTTAAGCATTAGTCATGAATTGTGATAATTCTCCTGTACTGGTCTCCAGAAATCTGATGAAAAACTGGCCGGTCAGTCTTTGCTTTTGGCGGTGATTGTGATTTTTGTTTTATGTCAGGGCAAACCATACTGAGAAAGTTGTCATACTGGTGAGAAAAATATACGGATGACGAGCACTTTCTGACTATATTGTGAAAAGGCCAGTGCCCCTTCTAAACGCTATTCCACTACTTCGGTTCCATGCTTTAACAAACATTAATCACTTTGAAAGTGTTGTGTTTTTGGATTCTACACTCACTAATGCGGACTAAATTAGAAAGCAACGAGGCAAATGCAAAGGAAACGTCCCGGTGTTGCCGAGATTAAACATGTAAAATGCAGAGAGCAGTGTTCAAAACCTGTACATCATCACCACCTAGCGAAAAAATCTAAGTATTACAGTAGTACTGAGTGGTGATCATCACCAAAAAAGATTAAATGGGAAAATAAGACCACTAACAAGCTCCCGGCTTGTAATGACCTGGTGACCTGTCTGGGGTGTGGTTCTGTCTTGCGTCCTGTAAATGACATGACAATTATCTAAAACTAAATTAATTACTTCAACGTTTAAAGTAAATGATAAACCGGTATTATGATTATAATAATAAATCGGAAACAGTCATTCCTTAATTGGTACCGCTTCAAATAAAAATGAAAAACATATTAAAGAAAATATTTTTGTTGTTGAGAACCCAGAGCCAAGGAACAATACCTAGGTACGCATTAAATAATTACTACATGTGTATTAGTTAAGTAGGAACGAGCTAAAAGTGTTTTTAAAACAGCAGTACATGCGTTCTATGATTAGACTATTTATTGTCTCAAAGTAATTGGACTCGATCAATAATTTATTACAGCCCATTTCTTATTATTTTAACAGCGGCTTCAAACGACGGTCAGTGTCAGTCAGGAGTAAAGTTGGAAATGACGCGCAGAATTAGTTGTTATTAATTAAGAATCTTATTAAGAATTAATATTAATCTAATTCATAAAGTTGGAATGGACTCGCAACGAAAAATTTGATTTTTGCGTATATATACAGGACTGAATTTAAAATGTGTTCTAGCAAACTGTAAAAGTATATTAATGTCTCAATGTTTTGTTGAAATAAATTATTTTACAAACAAAGAAAATGAATCAAAATTCACTTTTTTATTTCTGGGACGTTGGGTGGCTGTATATTTTTGCTAGGGTTGGTGATATCACTTTGTGTTTATATAGTAATTTCAAATCTGAGATTATTCTACAGTCTTTTTCGTTAGCCTCACGAAAAAAATCGAGATATCACAAGGGGAAAACTCTACAGAACAATCCATACTTGGATTTTGAAGGTGTTATCACGATGGTGGTCCTCGTATACTCTTGTATTCTGTTTTATTTCCCCTCGCAGGTGTTAAGTACAGAGATGTCCGAAACAATGTGACTTTCGATCACGAAAGAGTACAGTGCATATTAAAATTGATCTTCACCTTTCCACATTCAGTCCTAGGTGTTAGACTCAGTCAATTGAAAATTATAATGGGCAGTAACGACCTGATAAAAGAACATTTAAATCGCAAAAAAGAGTGATTGTGTTGTCTTTTCGATAGACATTATAATTAAACAAGAAGTGAAAATGCTTAACAGCTCTAAGTGTCTCACTGATTGACCGTCATTAATGCGTCTTCGATTGCACCCCTGCTGTTCTTTTGATTAGCTTGTTTTGATTGGCGGCGCCGGGCATTGCTAAAGATGAGAATGCAAATAAGAAATTTATTTCTGAGTAATGCGTTCGCGACAACATCACATTTGTTAGTTCAGGTTTGTTGTGTTTAATATTGTGTACCGTCAATCATGTCATTCTATTTTAGTATGTGCTCTGCACAGTTGGCGTGCACAACGATGAATTGTTCCAATTTTACAGGTGTCCTCGTCTTAAGCAGTGACTGGTGTTATCGAACGACATAAAAGACTGAATATCAGCAACAGCCCAATGAGGGGCGATGATGTGAAAAGTATGCTTCTGTTATTGGGCCGGTTCTTTCGTATTTCGTTTTACAATATGACAAATAAGGTTAAGTCATCCCTCTGGCGAAAGTACGTTTTTACACCAGGATTTTCCCATCTTTAGATCTTGTGTTTGTGCTCCAGATAGTTTAACGATTTAATGGGATCCCAAATTTAATCATTTAGGAAGTGGGCGTCGTTGAAGAGATTTAAAATCTGTTAGAAAAGTGAGAAATACAGATTAACGTTTGGAAAGTTATGTGAAAACTGCGTGTTTTAGGGAATAGAAAATACATAAAAGAGTTCTAAGTAATCAAGATTAAGGCAGAGATCTTTAGAGTTGGATGCTTAATTCGTCAGTAATTTCCGATATTTATAAAACAAAGTGGGCAGCTATTGTGGCAATGTGCTGAGCAGCTCAGTAGTATATTTTATTGTATTTTCAAGGTATTTCAGCAGAAGGTGCCTGCAATTTGCATTCAGTCTTAGACATTGAATGATTTTAGACCAATAACATTGATCTCTAGTTTTATGTAGTAATTTTGGAAAATTGTTAACCTACTGGATCCCATACAATTTCCCTACATGGCTAAAAGAGGAGTCAAAGATGTTACCCTCACATTATTGAATTCTTTATATCTCTTTTATATTTATAGCTAACATTTTATTTATAGCTGTTTCATCAGAATTTAACACCTCCCAACCACACTTGTTAGTGGTGAGATTCCATTCAATTTTTTATCTAGATTTTAAAATTATAGGCTGTACTTCAGACTTTTTTGACCAACAAATCACAAAGAGTGGGGGTAAATGGTTTATATCACAGCAGCTTTTGCTCTTCCACCAGGTGTTCCCAGAACTGTGTGTTCTGTCCCCCATCCTGTACATTAGAAGCTTGTGAGGAGAGACACATCATCAAATTTGCTGATGACTATGTCATTGTCAGTCTCCTCCAAGACGTAGACACTGGCCATGGGCTTGTGGTGGATCATTTTGTTGAAATGTGTAACGACTCCTTCCTGCATGTGTCGAAAACCCGAAAAATGGACACTGATTAAAGAAAGAGCCACCAATTGCAAAACCAACAGTCTCTGAAGAGCAAGAGGTGAAACTGTCAACAGATATCTTGGCACTATTGTTGATATCAAGCTAACCTTTAAGAAAAATACCCTATGTACCATACCGTATGTAATAAGAGAACAGCAATTGTTATCCTGAGATAACCCTGATCTTTTAATGTGTGTAATACAATGGTAATTTTATCATTTAATGAATCTATTCTAACATTCACTCTGGTAACATGGTTTGGTAACCTGAATACACATAGTCAAAACAGACTGAGCAGGACATTAAAGTAAGGTTCTTGGCACACAACAGCTACAGCTGGCAGACAGTTGTACTAACACATGTCATGATCACTCCTTGCACACTGAGTTTGACCTTCTTCCATCATGGCATCAGTTTTGACCACCTAGATTTAAGTGTAATAGAAGTGAGTAATATTTTGTTCCCATGGCTATTAACCTGTTTAATTTGGACAATTGATTGTTATATTTTATTTATTTTCTTCATCATGTATGTACAATGTAATTATGTAATTATATCACACATTGATGATCCAACTATTCTTTCTAAAGTGTGAGGATCCTGAAGCTGCTATTTTTTTTTTCCATTTTATGCATGTATGTTTCGTATTTGTTAAATAGAAATTATTGACTGAAGTCTGGGAGGGATAACAACATCAAGTCAATCTCACACAGCTGCACAAAATAACTACATAAACTGAATTGCTAGCAGCCATATCACCCTGCAACTAACAACGGGCAGCCCACTGAAGCCAAGCAGGTGTGAGCCTGGTCAGGTGTTAGTGGGGCCAGCAGGGGGTGCTCAACTGTTTTCTGTGTGGATCCTAATGCCCCAGTATAGTAACGGGGACACTATACTGTAAAAAAGTGACGTCCTTCGGATGAGATGTAAAACTAAGATGTAAACTCTGTGGTCATTATAAATCCCAGGGTGTTTTTCGAAGAGTAAGGTGTAACCCTTCGGTCCTGGCCAAATTTTCCATTGGACATCGTGGCCTCCTAATAATCCCCATTTATGAACTGGCTTCATCACTCTGCTCTCTTCCCCACTGATAGCTGATGTGTGGTGAGTGTACTGGCGAACTGTGGCTGCTGGTGCATCATCCAGGTGGATGCTGCACATTGGTGATGGTGGAGGGGAGTCCCCATTACCTGTAAAGTGCTTTGAGTGGAGTGTCCAGAAAAGCGCTATATAAGTGTAAGCAATTATTATTATCATTAATTATTATTATTTAAAATCCTCACTTTGCATTTGTCTCAAGCATCCCTCCTTCACCCCACCTCCACCTCACAGCCTCCCTTCAGTTCACTCAGTCTCAATGAGATTCAGGCCTCCTTATCCTCTGGCTAGGAGGTTTCCCATTAACCAAGTGCATTGAGCCAAACTTTTCTCACCCAGTATTCCAAATATTCAACCCTTTGCTGTTGTTGTCCCCAGTGAAATGCAGTATGTATTGTGTTATGTCTTTTACTTACCTATAAAGCAAATTTCACATCTGGGACAATAAAGGAACTACCTAAGGCTACTCTAATGGGAAGCCTTTCAGTAGGGTAGATTAGTTCTGGCTAGTTCTACCTCTGACTGACTAGTTCTGGCTAGACTCGATGTTGGTCTTTCTATGATCCTACACATTCCAAACAGAGAATGTCATTACATTTTAAATTTGCTTAAACTCAGAAACATTTAAAATATGCCCCATCTCCACCTTCTTACAAGAAAATGTGAAGTACATCTAAAACTGAGAAAAGGGAAGCATTTCTTTACACAAAGGGTTGCGGGAGTTTGGAACAAACTACTCAGACACATTGGGCCAAAACCAAATTGGTAAATTAATTGGCTTCTGGGATAATTGGCCCTAGTGTGAGTGTATTTGTATTTGTGTGCACTTGCACTTCAGATCAGAATATTATTTTACATATTACATTTTTATAAGGGCTTGTTATTCTAGGGGTTACTTCAGTACTTTAAAAATATTTTAGTTGCTATATATTATTTTATAGAATCAGTCAAATTCAATTTTATGTCTATGCATACACTGTTACCGTAAACCATTTTTATATGGTCTATGCTTTGATGTCCAGAGCAGCCAAAGAAAAGCTAATCAAGAAATCTTTCTTTACAGCAACAGACGTTCACAGCTGTCAGAAAAATGACGCAAATTCATTGTGAGCAGCACGGCACGTGTGATGTCCGGCTGGAATGATGTCACGCAGGAGGCGCCAGGAATGAGGTCAGGGGACTCAATCGGTGTAGCGCAGTGCTGTCAGGCTGCCTTTGGTTACTAAACGTGTAGCAGTGTAGAGTAGTTCATAGGGATTTGACACTTCGACCCAGACCACCGCACTCGATTGGTCTCTAGTACACCACAATGAGTTTATCATTCTGCACATTCGTGCCACGCTCGCCAACGTTCATCAGGGTGGTCTACAACTTTCAGTTCAGTTAAAAAAAGAGGACTTGGCTCAACTGTCGTCATGCACCTGAGAGGTCGCACTAGTTTACTTACCGCTGTTACAACAGGAGTCAGAGGAGTCGGGGAGAAAAATCCAAGCGGGTTTAGAGTGAGGGTGGAGAAGGGAGAGTGCAGTAAGTGGGTTACGTTACAGCAGAAGAGAGGTGGAAGAGAGTGTGGGCCTTACACAAAGATCAAAGGCAGCGAGATGCTGCCTAAAATGAGTGCTCTGGACAACCATTTACAGCTTGAGAAAACAAATGATCCAAAACAGCTTGAATAGCTGGGGGGACACAGGATCCCCCAAACATTAACATTTGAGATGAATACGTAAACCAACGAAGGAGCCACTTTTACACCTCAAACGGCTTATTTTAACACAAAACATCCAATTTCATGCTAAACTAAATTGCAAATAATTCTAATGTTTTTTTTTAAAATAAAGGTGTTGGTCTCGTGATAGGATGTGTAGTCATGGTTACTTGCTGTACTTGGACTGATGTTCAATTTGTGCCCGATCAGCTCCCATTATGGATAGAAGTGATTCGATAAAACAGTGAAAGTCACTCAAGTGTGTCAAGGTCAATATGAATGATCAATTAAACAATCACACTAAAATATTGAATCAATGCCCAAACTCTGTATGCTTTATTTGACTGAATACATACAGAATACTTACAAACTGAATACACATCACAAAGTCATAATTTTATTCTGATAAGTACATCAATTCAAAACTGCATCCCTCTATTGTTCCCGACTCCCGCCATCAGCGTGGACTGAGCGCACAAGCGCGCCCCCTGGTGGACGGCGGTGACGTCGCTCCCAATCCCATGCTGCCCTGCGTCTCCGCCATACCGCCGAGCGTCTGCAGCTGAGACCTGCTGGAAGCGGACATGTTAGACCGGCCTGACCGGAGATAAACGCTGTGCATACGGGAAGAAAAGGAAAGGCGCCGAAAAGGAAAGCCATGGATGCTGTTAACGCTTTCAACCAGGAGGTAAGGCGGGCGCTGAGGGGCGGCCGAGCGGATGAAGAGAGCGGGGCGCTGCGGTGGTGCGGCTCTGGCCCGGGAGTGGAGGCCGCGGAATGGAAACGGTTTCCCCAGGCCGCACGTCCGGACGTACACAATGGGTGTCGGGCTGAGCACAACCCGGGGAGAAAGACTCGACAGGCGGGGGGCGTTTGGAGGGGTGTCCTCCTTGCTCAGCTCGGCCGTATTTCTCGGGGTGAACGCCGAGCCTGCGGGACCGCTCCCCGCGCTCCGGCTCTCCAGCCGGGATCGCAGCTCTCTCGGTGTGGGTGGTGCTACTTTCACCTCTGCGGGGCGAAAGGGATAGCGCACGTTGAAGCGGCTGGCAAGAGTCCTAACCATCTTTTCCCTTCCTTTAGCTCGGAATGTCGCTCCTGGTATCCGGGGTGTAGCAGTTATGCTGTGTGTGTTTGTGTAGATATGTACGGGGCGGGGGATGTGGCGGGACGCGCTGCTGTGGGCTCGTCTCTCCTGCTGCAGCCCCGTTGCGAGTCCGGTGGTTGTATTTCTAACCTGGGCGACTTACGGTGATCGGGAAGGCGCCTGTGGTGGCCTTTGATCGGGGGCAGTGGGCGGTTTGTTATGGGGGCAGGCCGTGACCTCCAAATACCAGCGATCTCCTGCGGTGGAATAGAGCGAAAACACGGCGCTATGGTTTCTCGGCTGACAGCTCTGGGAATCGCTCCTTTCCTGGGATTTTCCTTTATAGTTTTCGCCGTCTTGCTCACAAAACGCCTACGTTTGGGGCTTAAATTGTGTAGTCTCTGGATTTCGCCCGCGTTTAAACTCGTTTCCGAGTTGAGTTGACGAAATACACCGCACAGGGAGCAGTCTTTTAAAACACACCTGGCCACCTGTTCATTGAAACCTCCCCCTGTACATTGCATAGACACCGCGGCTATAAATGTAGTGTCGGATCCTGACAAGTTCAGTGTTTGTCCATCTTTTTTTTTTTTGCTCTGGCGCGATGCTGTTTTGTTTTTTTTTTAGATTAAAGTGTTGTATAAGAATTTTGCCGTTTTCTCTGTGTTTGATTTGACTCTGGTTTTAAAGAAGCGAGAACACACTCACAATATGGCGTGAATTCTTTTAGCTGTTTATTAGCGCAAATGCTTTAACTTTTTAAAGGTATTGTTTTAAATCGTTGCTCCACCTTTGGGAACGCTGCCGTTTCCAGATACACGTTTTCAAGTTTTCTGCAGTGTGAGTTGTTTACCACTTGGGCACCATTTCCTAGCCCATTTACATTATTGTATTATGCAAAAAATTGAAAACAGCATTATAAAAATAAACAAAAGTACAATTTATTGAATTGCACTTTAACCAATGAGCCTACACAAGTTTAGCAGTTCAGAATAAGATTTGCAAACAAAACCCTTAACTTGGCACCAAATGTATGGTTCTGCGTTTTATTCAAATTCTCATTTTCCTAGTGATAAAAACTGGAAAGAGTGGTAGATTCACCTTTATCTGAAGTAACACTTCCTAGATTCCTGGTATGTGTGTATTGCATTGTAGCAGAATAAACAAAATGCTACTTGTAAACACACTGTACTCATGCACAAACTCTCAGATTTAATGGATTTAATCAGGTATTTTCAACTGGAATCAAACAAAAATAATTCAGAAAGAACACTTGAGAAAATCCAAACAGAGGTTTGGATCAAAGAATGAATCAGTGTGAAATGTGACACCATCAGAATGAAAACCTTGCAATGTTAGAATTCAGTAAGAGCTCCATGAGCATTAACACAATTCTGGCAGGTCTGACGTTAGACCAGCTACACTGGTAGACTGGCTACATTAGTGTGGGATTTTCTGCCTCTCCAGAAAGATGGCGGAGGTTGGGAAACCACAATTCTCCTGTTGATGTTATTGGTGAATTGTTGAGGTCAGGAGAAAGAACACTGACTATTTCAAGACCTTTTCAATTTTTGTCAGTTTCAGTTCTTTTAAAATGCCTAATATTGAGCACCCAGGGTTTTATGAAAGAAATGTAACTTGAGCTCTCATTTTGTTTGTCCAAAGGAACAACTCAACAGATCTGTCTGCTTCCTATTTAAATAGGAGGCCTGGACAGTGTTAGATATATCTGCAATAAACGATTAATGAAAAACTTGCAGATGGTTGTGTTTTTATTGTGCATCGGTAATCTGTACCCTAATATAAAGAGTTTGTCCATGTCTAGTCATACCCAAAGGTTTCTGCTATCTTAGCCCCTTTTTACTTTAATTGAATTGTACCCAAGAAAAATTAGGAAAGAAATGAGATTCATAGAAACAGTGAACTATTAAGTAATACTCAATGGAATGTGGGGTAAAGACATTATAGAATAAGATTTCGAAGAGCGGCTTAAAACAGTTTTAATTGTTTTATTTATTGATTTTAGGAATTGACTTTTTTCACAGTAATTAAATTCTAACTAGTAAAAGTACAATAGCAGCTTCTGGATGAATATGAAGAACTGGTCTTCTGTCTGTATTTCCTTACAGACCCCCTTTCTTGTTTTGTTTCTTGACAGTAATAAACCTAATCTCCAATTAAAGGCTCAGTGTTTTGATGACATGCTTTAAATTGCCTGACATGGTGTTTGGTATTGTGTCATGACAATTGTTGAAAGAATCTTTGAAATAGGTTGGTATTGGTGTATGCATTAAAAGCATTACATATTTTTTCTTTTCCAAAGAAAAGCTTTTTGCACTATCTTTAAAAAAACCTCACCACAAAGAGGTTACAGCTGTGTTTCTGTGCAAGTCCCGTGTGGATAGGTAGTAGAACATGAGTTTGTGCCACTACTTTAGAGTCCAAAACATGAGTACAGGCTAACTGGCTTTGTCTGCCTACAGTCTGCTTCTTCTTTAAATGATGCAGTTAACTGTGCTCAATGAAATCTACTTTGGCTTGTTCTTTTATGATTGTACTGTAGTAAAATCACTGGCCTTTTAATCGGAAGTCGGTATATTCAATTGCTCATTTCAGCCTAGTAACAGGTGAGCACTTTGTTTGCTTGTTTTTCAGCTATTATGGGAATAGATGTTATGGAAATTTGCATGTACTCAAAAATAGTGTTGAAATAAGATAGAGCCAGTTGTACAGTTTGTACTGCAAGTGTTTTTAGCAAGTGCCCTGTTTGAGGTTATGTTCTTATTTGTTGGTTACAGAGATCATCCATGTTTCAGCTTCCCTGGCTCATTAGCTTATACACAGCTTGTGTGCTGGGTCCCTCTGGGAAACACAACTGCCCAGAATGGGTCAGCTGAGGCCCGTGGCAGGGTTTTTCTGATAGGCAATATCTGTTATGGGCATCTTGTTGTATAGCCCACAACGCCTTGCATAGACTCCCCAGTGAAACCTGTACCCCAGCAGCATCTACTGTACAGAGTGTAGTAAAGCAGATTTTCCCAAACACCCACTGTTTTTTATAAGAGAACAGTAGCTATGTTTACTGATTTATTAAGTCGCTTCGCTGTGTTTTACTGACAATGTCTTTACTACAAGATGCGTAATATTTTCTGCAGACAAAATGAATCAATTAGACATTTAGCAAACCTTGATTGAAGTCATCATGCTTGTAAAAATGTGAATAATAATTTTTAAGATGGTGGTACCTATATAGGAAATGTCTAATTGAGGATTCCAGTGTTCTGCTATTGCAGAGGTAAGAGCACCACTGGGACATTTATCATTCTTGTTTGTGCAGGACTGACTGGCACGGTGACCAGTAGAGGTCTTCTGGTCTAATCATATAGTTCAGTTAATTTCAGTGGTAAAAGCAAATGAAAAACCCTATTGTGATAGGGACAAATACCCAACTGAACCCGTCAGAAGTTTCTCTAACTAAGGAAGTCTGCAAACCAGAATGATACTGCTGTAGCTGTATGGGCAGGACATGTGGAAATTGTCACAGTGTGTTGTGCAGCTCCTTGGTCGGACTTTGTGTTTTAGAATGCAGTAATCCTGGGAGTGCTGGTGTTAACTACCCCAAGGCATTACAGAGAGCACAGCTGAATTCCAAAATGGTATAATTGTGAAAAATAAGTATTATTAGTACAAAGTGAGTTGTGCTCAGCTTCAGTTAGAGTAGTATGGAAGATCAGAGAACCTAGTTTCTTGCACACAATCCTCTGGGTTTGGGCTTTGGTTGCACCATTATTTTAATCCTCAGCATCAATAAGGGAGGTGAAAGTAGAATATGGCTACTTCCGAGTCCAGAGCAATCTAAGATGGAAATCACAGCCTGGATCTGGAGTGAACTGTAGTCCCAATTTCTCAGAACAGTTATTAAAACTTGATTAAATAAATTGACAGTATCAGAACATTTTACAAATTCTGAATTAAGCACAAAATGGTGAGCTTCATGAAAGGACTATATGGTCTCCATTGATTAGCGAGAGCAAGAGTTTGCCCAAATTGTGATGTGCTCACTAGTCACTGTAATGACTGACTAATGTAATGTGAACAAGTAGATTGTGCAGCAGACATTGCACCGCAGAAATGTTCCAACAAAATGTGCATGCAGAGTTAATAAGTAATATTTGTTGGCAAAACTCTTGAAATCAAGAGCAAGATTTCTGTTGGATTAAAATAGATGTATTCACAAGCGTGTTTACAATATAATAGTGCCTTTTCATGTCACCTGAAGTTTTGTTGCCTCGTTCTAAATTGCAGAATATAGTCCTGCACATACCAAAAAAAGTCTATTTTAAGATGTACACTGGAGGTTTTACGTGTTACTGTGTACATTTTGCTTTCATTGTGGCTTGAAATGCACACATCAGTGCTTATTTGTAACAACAAAATATAAAAATAACATTGCAGGTCCCCTTTAACAGTGACTGAGTTGTCTGAATCTGTCTTGATCTACTTGGATTTTCCAGGCTGCTTGAATTTGTAGGATTTCTCATGATTTTTTATTGAATGGAAATGCATCTCCAATGTTGTTAAAGATACCCTTTGGGTTTATAGTC